CTCCAGGTATCACTGTTCAAGAGCCTCCTTGGCTGGAGCCTGGTCACATGGTCATTTTCAGTGGCAAGGGACAAGAGAGTCCTGTGATGGCAGTATTTCTTTCCCTAGGTGCAGAACTTTTTCTCTCCTATTTATCATTTTGAAAAATTTCAAACCTATGGAAATAGTGAAGTAATAATATAATTAACTCCAATATATGTGTATTTCACCTAGGTCCATCAATTGTTGACATTTTCTGCACCATTTGAGTGCAAGTTGCAGACCCTATGACACTCTATGCCCAATATGTCAGCATACATCTCCCAAGTACAAGAAAATTAACATTTACTTAATAACATCTAGGATACTGTTCTATATGTAAAATTCTCCCAACTGTGCAAAGTACCTTTTTATGCCTTTGTTGTTATTGCTGCTGTTGCCATTTTAATCCAGGATCTAATCAAAGATCCTGCTGTTGCATTTCATTGCTATGCTTCTTTTACCCTTTTTAAACCACCTTTTTGTTTTGTTTTGTTTTGTTATTCATGACATTAATCTCTGGAAGGGCACAGGAAAGTTGTTTGGCAAGATGTCTTACATTCTGAATTTGTCTGTTTGTTTTCTCATGATTACATTTAGGTCTCACATTTTTTACAATACTCCACAGGAGATGTGTGTGTGTTCCTAATTGTATCATATCAGGAGGGACATCATGTCAGGTTTTTCCTACTCTTTGTGATGTTAAATTTGGCCATTTGGTTAAGGCAGTGACTTCCAAGTCTCTCACTGCAATATAGTTTTCCCTTTGTTTTTACTAGGTAATCTGTGGTGAAACTTGAAGATTGGGTGAATATTGTGTTCCCCAACTACATTTGACACAATGGCTTTACTACTATTGATAATTTTTCCCTGGTTCAGTTAATTCGGTGAGGGTTGTATAATAGCAATTAAAAAAATATTGTATTTATTTATTTTTAGAGAGGGGGGGAGGAAGAGAGAAAGAGAGGGGAGAAACAGTGATGTGAGTAATACTAATTGGTTGCCTCTTGTATGTGGAACCTGCAACCCAGGCATATGCCCCTAACTGGGAATCAAACTGGAGACCTTTTGCTTTGTGAGACAACACTCAATCAACTGAGCCATACTGGTCAGGGCAACATGGCAATTTTAAAATCTCACATTGATTTGCTGGTATTCTTTTGTAAAGAGTTTCCCCCTTTTCTATTCTTTCCTTCTCTCCTTCTCCATATGGGCTGTAGGGATTAAAAAATTAAATGTTATAAACTCACATTGTCAATATGTCATAATACTCAAATTGATCAAGTTTGACCAACAGGAGCCTAAGAGGCAAATTTTCTAACCAGACACATTGTTTCAACAAAGGAAATTGGGGTTCTGTTTTAAGGAAGGAGCATATGGTTATTGGCCTGCAACTAGTGGGCCTGTCATACCTTATCTCTCCAAAGCCTCCATTTCCTGGGATTTAGAATGGGGTAATAACTTTCTCAGGATAATTTCCAGAGCTAAATGGATTGGTCATGGATTAAATGCATGGAAGGTACATTTGCCAGTGTCATAGAGCCTGGTACAGAGAAGATGTTTTTAAAAACAAAACAGAATCTCCCTTCCTATTCTTCCTTATGCCATGGCCTTTGTTTAAATTTCCCATCCAAGTTCTGGCCAAGATGGAGGCATAGGTAGAAACCCTTTGCTTCCTTACACAACCAAAAGAAAGATAACAACCCATCTAAAATCAGTAAACAACTAGAAATGCCAGAAAGTCAAACTGCATGGAACTCCAACAACCAAGAAATTAAAGAAAAGGCCAACCAGAACAACCAGACTGGTAAGAATCTGAGACTGCAGACCTCTAGGGCAGGGCTGGCTGAAGGCAAAACTGAGACTCAGAGTTGACTGTGGAATACAGTGGTTGTCACAGTGGGAGAAACTCACAGTCTCACATGAGATCGTTGAAAAGTGGGCTAAAGCTGAGCAAGGGAGCTGTGTTGTTCTCTCTCTGGTGCCTCCCCCACAGGCAGTGCCAAAGCACAGCAAGGAGAGTTGCCCCACCCCTTACAACTTAATAGGTGTGCCAAGACAAAGAAATATGGCCCAAATGAAAGAACACAGCAAAACTTCAGAAAGAGCTAAGCAATGAGGAGATAGCCAACCTATCTGATGGAGAATTTAAAGCCCTGGTAATCAAAATGCTCACAGATCTGATTAAGCTTAGTCAAAAAATGAAAAAACAAATGAAAGATACCCAAAATAAAATAAAGCAAAATATTCAGGGAGCCAACAGTGACAGGAAGGAAACCAGGACTCAAAGAAACAATTTGGAACAAAAGGAAAAAATAAACATCCAACTGGAACAGAATGAAGAAACAAGAATTCAAAAAAGGGAAGAGAGTCTTACAAACCTCTGGGACAACCTGACATGTTCCAATATCTGAATTATAGGGGTGCCAAAAGGTGAAGAGGAAAACCAAGAAACTGAAAACTTATTTGAACAATTAATGAAGGAAAACTTTCCTGATCTGGTGAAGGAAATAGAATTCCAGGAAGTCCAGGAAGCTCAGAGAGTCCCAAAGAAGCTTGACCCAAAGAGGAACATATCAAGGCACACCATCATTAACCTATCCAAGATTAAAGATAAAGAGAGAACCTTAAAAGTAGCAAGAGAAAAGGAGAGAGTTACCTACAAATGAGTTATCATTAGCCTATCACCTGATTTCTCAAAAGAAACCTTACAGGCAACAAGGGGCTGGAAAGAAGTATTTGAAGTCATGAAAGGCAAGGACCTACATCCAAGAATACTCTATCCAGCAATGCTTTCATTTAGAACAGAAGGGCAGATAAAGTGCTTTCTAGGTAAGATCAAGTTAAAGGAGTTCATCATCACCAAACCCTTATTATAAAAAATGTTAAAGGGACTTGTCTAAGAAAAAGAAGATAAAAATATGAACAGTAAAATGACAACTAACTCACAACTATCAACAAATGAACCTAAAAAGAAGAAAAACAATGAAAACAAAAACTAAGCAAGCAACTAGAACAGGAACAGAATCAGAGAAATGGATATCACATGGAAGGTTTTCAGTGGGGAGGGGGAAGAGAGGAATGGGGGAAATGGTACAGGGAAGAATAATTAGTAGGCATAAAATACAAGGGGAGAGATAAAATGATATAGAAAACAGAGAACTCAAAGAACTTACATGTACAACCCATGGACATGAACTAAAGGGGGCAGAATACTGGAGGGTTGGGGGAAGCAGGGTGGAGGGGCAATAAAGGGGGAAATTGGGAAAACTGTAACAGCATAATCAATAAAAATACATTAGAAAATAAATTTCTCATCCTACTTTGCATTTATGTTGCATTATCTTCACTTGTTTGCAGTTAAGTTTTGTTGTCTGTGAAATAGGGACACAGAACTTGTTGAGTAGTCATGAGGTTTAGATATGTGGCTGTCAGTGTAAGCCCCTCTCTAAGTCTTGTGAAATTCCAGTTCTCCCCCAGTATTTTGCGGATGATGGTGGGAGGGAGGAGGCCATATACAGTCCCATTTTCATCTGTGGGTGTGACTCTTGTTTTGCTGAATTAGTTGTGTGTTAATTATTTTGTTATCCAGGCCAGAAGTGGAATCTCTTTCTTCAAGTTTTACAACACCTCTTTCACAGTCAAGATGTCTGGGTGTTCAGGAAGCCTTGAAAAATATGGTGAGCATATAGGGAATGCCAAAAGTACCCCACTCAGATTTTTTACTGCCTGGTGAGGCCATCCCCTAGCTACTATGGGTGTTGCCAACTCACAGATTCCCCCTTCACTGGGGAATTGTCCTGGGCTACCAATGACTGATGTGGGGGGAGATAATGCTTGTCCCGTTGCCTCAAAGTAAGAGTGTTTCTGGCCATAACTTGTGCTCTAGAGCACCCTGTGGGATCAAGTTGAAGCCAGGCAGCAGCTTTGACCCCCTCTTTACTTAGCTTATCCCATTCCCTCACTTCATTTCTCCTGAGGCACTCCTCCCATACACTGCTTGCCCCAGAATCCCCTACTCAGACTCTGCTTATAGGGAAGAAATGAAGGACAAAAGGGATGGAGGGATATTTGCAAATCAAAGTATTTGAATAAAACTAGAATATGTCCTTGTTCATAAAAATCGTCTGGCTACCCCACACCTGGAATGTTCACTGGCTTATTCATTCAAGGTGTTTTCATCTCAGGGTGCATTCACTGGTCTTTCTCCTTTACTCTCTCCTCCCAACTCTTTCCTTTCCATATTGCCAAAAGGAATTCCAAGTTATTCTTGCTATTTCATGTAGCAATGCAGTGTTCCTCAGTTACGGATTCCAAACTCAACTCCAGGCCCACTGTGGCAAATCAAAGCCATTCAGCAATTCAGAGGAACAAGAGTAGGGGTGTTTCATACATGGTTGCTGTGGATGTGAATGGCAATCATTTGCATTTATCCATTACACATATGATTCTGTGTGATAAGCACACATGCTGTACTCAATACATGGTATTGGATAATACCATGTATTGAGTCCTTGGATAATGTCTCCTAAATTTTTAGGATCATTACTGCCCTCCTAAGAATAAAAGTCTGACTTTGGACTATAGAGCCCTACATGGTCTAATCTCCTTGTCTCGTGCTCTCCTCTGCTTGCCCTTCATTTTCCACACTTTCTATTCATGTAGCTAGACCCTCTTTCTTTCTTGAATGTGGCAAGGCTGTTCCTGACTCAGGGCCTTTGCACTGATTGGTCCCCAGCAAATTTCTTTGCCTATCTTCTCTTGGCTAACTCCTACTAGACCTTAGATCTCAATTCAAATGTTTTTTCCTTAGGGAGGTTGCTCTGGGCTCTCAAATTGAGGGAGGCCTCCTATTAATTTCTTTCACGACATTTATCACAGTGATTAGCAAACTTATTTACCTGCCTGTTTGTCTCTTCATTTGTTTACTCCATTATATCTCAACAACAGGACGGCAGGACACCTTTTGTTAGTGATATTCCATGCGGCTAGGTCAATGCTTATTCAGTGTTCAGTATCAGTTTGTTGAAGGAATAAAGCAGAGAACTGTGCATAAATTCACCATCACATGCTTGGCTCAGCCCCCACGAAGGTCTCCTGGCTTCAGAACATCACCCTCAGCTCTGCTTCAAGGGTGAGCTTTCCAAAGTAAGGATTGCCCATTGATTCCCTGCTTCTTACCCTGTCATTGGAGGCCCTCCGTGACTGGAGACCAGCAGCAGGTCTTTCAACGGACTTAGGAGACTCCCACACTTTGCCACCCCGCGCTCCCGGGTTACAGGGCAGGCCGGGCTGGCGGGGACTACAATTCCGACAGTGCCCCGCGATCTGTCGTCACATTATTGGATGAGCCTCTGGAGGCGTCCAATAAAACGTGGTTCTATTGGTTTGTGCTAAGAACTTCCACCTGGGAAGGTTGGCCTGTGAACTCTGGGCTGAGTAGTCTCCTGCTGGGGGGGGGGGGGGGGGATGGCGAGACACAGAAAGCAGTGAGGGTCGCAGGGTGTCCTTCGGTATGGACGAGGAGGAGCGGGTCCGGGTGCTGCAGGGCATCCGGGTGAGCTGGCTGCCGGCGGGTGCGACTTGCGAAAGTGGCTGGGACACTGTGGGCACGGAGGGTGGAGGGTGCGGAGGGTGCAAAAGCTGGGGCGGCCTTTTGGGGAGGTGCGTGCAAATAACGAGTGGGTGCGCCTGGTTCTTGGAATACTGCCTACTCCCTGGTGGAGAGATCTCTTCCGCTGCCCAGTAAATGAGGTAGATGTGGCTCGGGAGATGCCTGGGGACCCCAGTGCAACGAGTGGCCACTTCAGGCTTCAGCACTATGGTCGCCTCAGGGTAGAAAGAGTGGAGAGCGAGAGAGGTGATGAGGCCAGGTTCCAGCTCCAGTTGACGTAATTGTTACAGACCTGAATTTGTTCCACCACACACCAAGTGCGTGCGTGTTTTATGTATACATGAGAAGCTTCCAATACTGTACAATTGCAACAGCCTCTTAATTAGGGGTTCTTGGCTTCACAACACTGCAGCCAGTTGGGCACTGTAAAAGTTATGATTCAAATTGTGTACACTTCCCCTTGGTTAAAGCTCTAACCAACACTTTTAATAAGTGCCTAGCGCAATGAAAATGAAAAGGAATGATCCCTCCTTACCTTGTTTTACAAAACTTTGCTGCTGACATCTCTGACGGCATCTCATGCTAGTTCCCATCCCTCCCACCCCGCATCTATTCACTAGCCTCAGGACCTCCTTGTCCCAGCAAGATACCAGCTTGCTCCAAGCACAGGACCTCTGCATTTGCTGTTTTCTCTTCCCCAGCTTTAACAGAAAATTTTTTTGCATAATTTAGTTATTTGTTTTTAGCTAATAAATTCCTAAAATTATATAACATTCTCGAATTCTGCTGTAATGATTGTATATTAGCAAATGCCTAAATGTTTTCCTGATTGAATTTCATAACAATATAGAATGATAAAAACATTCATTTCTAATTCCTTCATTTGAAACAATGTAAACACATCCATTATTGTCTTGCTGAGAAAATGGGAAGTTTTAAGATGTTAAATCTAGATTTTGATGATTTTGAAATGAATCCTTGCTTTTCCCTATTTCCCTACAAAGCAATTATAATTCTTAGTACAGTCATATAACAACCATAATTCAGTTGACTGCTGAAGGTCTTTTTCAGATTTTGTCCTTTCTATCTTTTTTCTGAAACTGGTTTCTGGGGATCTGCCAGTGCTAAGGGTTCTTACATGATGTTTGCTGGGTAATGTTTGCCTAATACTTCAACTTCCACTTGTATTACTTTACTTAGCTCTACAGGGATGTATGCAAATGCAAGACTCTTCTGGTAGCTTCCCAATACTGTGTCACTAATTACCTTACCATTGTACCATATTCTTTTATTTCTCCCAAATCAACATTGTCTGTTGCCAAGGTGAGGTGGACTAGTCTCTCTTTCAGACCCTTGGCTTTAATCTGTTTCAGTGCTTGCTTTCTAATGAAGTCTGCTGGCTGCATCACAGTTCTGATTAACACTTCCATTCCAGGCCTTATCCGAGATCTCCCCTTGCAACGCCCCCCCTCCAGTTTTTCTTATATCCGGCTCTTATCATTCTTGTTATAGTTAAAATATAATATCTGAGTATCCTTCCCTGACCACTTAAAGTACCTTCCCACCTACACTGTCACACATCTATTTTTTTCCTAGTGCTCATCAGCATTTCCAATTTCTATTAATAATTTACTTGTTTATTGTGTTTCCCAGTACAGTGTAAGGTCCTTGAGGCTAAGGCCCTTGTCTGATTTGAGACTCTACTCTCAGAACCTAGAATAATAAAAGCAGCTCATATTTGAATGCTTGGTGGGGGCATAGGATACCCTTTATAGTTATCCTCTCACTTAATTTTCAGCAGTTTGGTGAGAGATGTAGGATTCTATTTGCTTATTTTATAGGCTGAAGACAACCAAGTCACTGAGAGATGAAGTAACTTTATCCAGAGTCACCTAGGTGACATGTGTAGAACTGAGACTGAAGTAGGCAACTCAGGCCTGTTCATTGAATGCTATACTACCTCCTATATCTGTATTTGGCAGATAGTGGTGCTTTGTGAATGTTGAGTAATTAAGTGACTGAATCCATTGAAACAGAGGCTGAGTTTAAATGGAGTGCACAGAAGTGGATGTAGGTGAATTAATTAATTAGGCAAGTGGCTCATGACATCAGGAGGCCCAGCTTCTGGAAAGATCCCCATTAGCTGTTGTGACCTTGGGTGAACAACTTATGTTTTGAGTCTCAGTCACCATATTTTAAAAGAAATAGAGGGGAGGGTGTGATAACCCTAAGTGCTGCCTATGATAAGATGAAGATGTGTGTTAAAGTGTTTAGAGAAAGTACAGAGTGCTTTTTAACAGAGTGGGTGGGGGCCTCTGACTCTGTGTGCCATAGTACTTAGTGTATTTGCTGCCTGCTGGGTGTTATCTAATCTTGACCTGACTGGTTGCAATGACAAAATGAGGAGAAGATGGCTGGTGTTTGAAGGTTGAGAGGCAAGAGCCTAAATTGAAAGTTAGATACCCTTGCTTCTGTTTGTGTGCTCTACTACCGTACTACCTGGTGTCCTGCTTTTGGGAATGTTGGGAAGTAGGTCAGTGGGAGTCCCTTGGGAAGTGATTTCCTTTAAGTTGCCAGAGGAACATCATATGTTTTGGATATTATATCAAATACATTTTATTTCTAGTTTTCTTAACAATTCTGCAAAATGTAAATTCTTTTTAAAGATGGAGAATCAGGCATAGAAAGATTAAGGAATTTGCCTGAGATGTTACCTGGGTAACTTCTGGGACTTTAATCCAGACCTTTAATTGGAAAAAGTAGTCTTTTCTCATGACTCCAGCTTCCTCCCCACCACTTACATACAAGACAGCAAGAAAATTCTGTGACAAAGGTTCCACCTGTCCTGACAGGGCGCTAGTGTCTCACTTAGTTCTGCCAGAGGGAACTAAAGTGAGAGGGAGCTTTGGTGACTGGTTGACTGCTTGGCAAACTCTTTAGACAGAATAAACAACTTGCCCTGAAGTACACTATGGGATATAGAGCCCCATGCTATGAGAGTCCTTTCTTCCCTTTGTCCCTTCCTTCCTTGGAGATTAGAGAAAAGGTGGTGATGGCAATGAAGTGTTTTGGTTTAGTGACTTTTTTGTTTGCAAAATTACTTGAGGGTTGAGGATTCCGTGTGTCTTTAGGCAGGCGAGTAAAAACCAGCAGAAAAAAAATCACTGGATTAACAAAATAAGAAGTTAATTTTTTAATTTAGTTTTTATTTTATAATCATAAACTGAACTCTGTAATCCAGCTAGATTTGGAAGGAGTAAGGAAAATATGGAACCTAATGAACTGTGGTCAGAGCATGAAGATTGTAGAACATTCCAAGAAAATGGGAGTGAAGGAGTGCTGTCTTTAGCTACAGAGGGAATGGTCTGGTGGTTAAGATAAAACACAAGTCAAATTTATTAGAGTTGTCTACAGTCAGCAGTGGTGATCTTGCTGGTTTTGCCATTCCTGGACCCAAAGCGCTTTATAGCTGCCACAACATCCATGTGTCTTTCACCTAGCTGAAGACCACATGCTTGCCATAACCACTCAGTCTTGGCAATGCAGATGAAAAACTGGGAACCATTTATTTTAGGTTCAGCATTTGCCATGGACAAGATGCCAGGACCTGTATGCTATGGGGATGAAATCCTTATCAAATTTCTTTGCATAAATGAACTTGCTACCTGTGCCTTTATGGCATGTGAAGTCACCACCCTGGCACATAAATCCCAGAATAATAGTGGGAAACCAGGAATCTTAAAAACCAAATCCTTTCTCTCCAGTGCCCAGAGCATGAAAGTTTTCTGCTGTCTTTGGAACTTTGTCTACAAACAGCTCCAAGGAGATGGCAGCCCAATGGTTCACCTTTGACAGCAATGTTAAAGAAAATAGTGGGGTTGGTCATGGCTGGGCACAGGAGCTCGATGATGGTGTTTGCAAGGTAGCTAAGAAGATAATTTAATAGAAGTAGATGCCAAAGAAAAATATCTGCCCCAGCTTCTTCAGAGAAAGTAAAATATTTATAAAGACCACTTGTGTTTAATCCCCAAGGCGTGGTTCTATAAAGTGCTCTAGTTCCCTTAAAATTAAATGCTAGGGCCTTGCTAGTTTGTATACTTATTCACATAAATTTACATACTGAGTTCAAGCCCTATTTCTTTAGAAGGTAAAAGAAATTTAATTAATACAAAATGCTGCAATCAACTCTATTTTTCAAAGCAAGCATGTGGCCAAAAAGTTCATTAATTTTTTTTCCCATAAAATGGATTGAGTGGCACTTCGTTGTTTTTAATTTCATTCAAAACAATTTTGTTAGATTGTGCTGTGACAGCTGTCATATCAGTGTGCATTTAAAAAACTTATCAAGATTGGTAAATTTTTATGTAACCATTTAAATATCCAAGATGGGTATGCTGGGAAGATGGCGACGGAGTAGGACGGAGAGGATTCTAGCTCCTGTACTCGTGGGTGAAAGTCCTGGCAGATCTATAGAGAAACAGCAAAATAAACCATCGGTTACCCAGCACTTATGAAATTAAAAGACCAGAGATTGTGACCAACGCTGAAACAGCAGATAGCAGCAGAGTTAGCTATGGGAGCTGGAACACACTCGGCCCCTATGCCACCGCCATAGCAACAGGCCTGGGAGCCGGGGAGTCAGGTATGGGAGCTGGACACTGGAGGCCCCTGTACCACCACCATAGAGATGGGCCTGGATACCAGGGAGTCAGCTACAGGAGCCGGACACTGGAGGCCCCTGTGCCACCACCATAGAGACGGGCCTGGGTGCTGGACAGTCAGCTATGGGAGCCGGACACTCCAAGTACTTGTGACAGACCTGGGCACCGGAGGAGTCACCTACGGGAACCGGGACATTTTCGGCTGCTGTGTGGCTGCCATAGCAATGGGACTGGTTGCTGGGGAGTCAGTTACAGGAGCCAGGACATTCCCAGCCCCTCTGC